TAAGGGTCCATGGTCCATGGTGGACCATATTAATTAATTAAAGAGAATCCTAACCATAATCTGAATAGTAAAGGTATACTTTCTTTATTCCTAGTAGGCTTATGACTCTAGTTTAGGCAAGGGCCCACGATCCGTGGTGGACCACATTAATTAGTTAAAGGGATTTTTAATCAAATTAAATCCTTTTTAATTATTATTAATGAAATTAATTAAATAATTAATTCGGGATTAAAGGCCGTAACACGGGGTGTTACACTTTCACCGAGGTCACCACTTTTAGACACCCCATGATTCCTTACCCAACACTCGCGTTCATCAATCGAGGCACAAAAGTGCGCCATGAATCAATAGAGCGAGGAGTTAAGAAATCAACACACCGTAACAATGGGCGCTGGGTGAGAGGTCATTCGCATGCCAAGGTCCCGTTGGGGACCCGCTGGAAGGTGGCGAAGAAGAAGGAACCTCTTCGGGAAAAGTCCCAAGAATGCACAGATTCAAGTCCCAATAATCACATGCTCACTTGAACAAAAGGGACTTGAATACATAAAATGACTCATCGATCAACGTTATTGAACCTTGAACACGAGTTCTAGGTGAGTCAAGACTCTCGCATGTCCTTTCGTTGTTGCTTAGTAGGTCGGGTCTAGTTTCCAATTAGCAACCTCGTCACTTTCGCGGGGTAGTCGGTTTTAAGCCAACTTTTTCCTTGCCTTGATTAACGGCAAGCCTTCTTGGTTTTTCTTGAAGCTCAGCTTGTTGCCCGGTCCCTGTTTAATCCTTTAGTGGCCAAATGCTTAGTGATGCCTTTCTCTTTCTTGGAATGCATTTGATTGTTTACTCTCGAAGTAGTATGGCGTTTTGGCGATTTTGTGCGTCACATGTACTCCTTACGGTGTCTTAATACCATCAAGGCCCTCACTCCAAAGTAAGATCCTCATTGTGGGGAAGCTTTGTGCACGATACTTTCCACGCGTCCGTCCTCTTGACATGCCGAGTCCTTTTTCAACGACTATCCTGACACTCATACTAAAGATTAAGAAAAGACGTTTTTCATGTGCTACTTCGCTTCCTTGCACTTAATTGGCGTTCTAGTTCTCTTTACAGGTGGTCTCCCACTTCTGTTACTCCTTTTTCCGGGTCTGTTCCCGAATTCCTTGTTGTAGCAGTTGGATTCGGTGAAGGTCAGTGGAGCTAGCGTAAGCCTCGTTGAGGGTTCTGGTTTTACTTGCAGTTGAAGCTTTTCGAGTTTCGAAGTTGAGACCGGCCACAAACTCCTCTACCTTAGTCCCATTTATGGGCACCAATTCAGGCGGGAAACGAGCTAGCTTTGAAGGATCTTTTGTGGTATTCCACCACTATAGTTATCCATGTTTCAGGTGGAGGAATTTTGCGTACATGGTTGTCCTTTTATGCGCGGGGTAGAAACATCCCCTTTAACCGAGCCTTCAGGGTTTCCCTAGTTGAATCCCGATCCTTGCCTACAGGTAGGTTCCTTGTGAACTCACCAAATATCAACCTTATGTCCTGAAGTAGGATGGGGCTAGATCCATCCGGTGTCCTTCCGGGCATTCCACTACTTCAAGGACCTTGTTGAACATTCGGATCCATTCCTCGAGGGTTGTAGGATCTGCTCCCCCTGTGAAGATAGGTGGGTGATGGCTCGAGACTTGGCGAGCCACGTCTGGGTTCCCGTTTGAGGGTGGTTGGTTGTTGTCATTAAGGATGGCGCTACTTAGTGCCTGGGTGACCTGAGTCAATTGTTATAGATTCTGAGCTAGAGATTTGTGAGTGGAGGGTTCGGGGGTCCTTGGCTGACTTCTTGTTGGTGTCATGCTGGTGGTCTACAGGGCCAATGTTTAGCGTATTGGTGAGTTAGTTGTATTGCACCCTTACCTTTATGCGATAAGCGTAGGGGGAATTCTTAAATTAAGTGCAGAACAAGGTGAGGGGAAAGTTAGGCATGTAATGATAGGTAAACCCACAATCTCACCGCGCGTCCTAAGTTTCCTGAATCCTAAGTTCCTAAATACCTAGAGTTCAAGCTTAAAGTCCTAAAGTCTTGTCTTAAGAGTCTTATCCTAGGGTCAAACTTAGGCTCTGATACCAACTGTAACACCCCTAAAATTTAAAACTTTTAAAACATATAATAGGAAGGTATTTCTATTATAAAATCCCAAAACAGAGCATACTAACATAAGAGTTTGGGGCGCTATGCCACATCTGAGTTGGAGAACTCAGATGCACAGGTTATACTAACTAAATATCCTCAAAGCAATGTCAATACATCATCATGGCACGCAGGCCGAAAGGAAACTATCTATCCAAGCCTTGGTTCTCTAGCGCGCTCCGGAGCTACTCATCTGTGCCTAAAAGCCAAATATATCTGTTCAGCGAATAATGCTGGTAACCCACTCCAACGCATTAAAATACAATATATATATATATATATATATATATATATATATATATATATATATATATATATATATATATATATATAGGAAAAGCATATTGAAGCAGGAAGATATATACTTAGGAGACTCTAGTTTTAAAACCAGGAATAGACTTGACAAGTAGGGACAAACACATTCAACAGTAATAATCAAGCATATAAATCACTAGCATGTATAATAAGGTCACAAGTTTATTTCATATCATTCATATCGTCATTCAGTCATTATCTTTATCATATAAGCACACTTTGCTGGTGCCACAGGACCAATCGCATGCCCATACATGAGGGTCAGCGCATATAGCGCTAACATGGCCCCGCATCACACTGCATCATACCGCAGCAGTAAGGGGTTGACCGCAGCCAACCGATGAACCGTGGCTCATCAAAACGTTTGACCGCAGCCAAACGGTGGACTGCAGCCCAAAAGTGAATCTCTTAACGCAGCCAGGAATATGAACCGCAGCTCATGTAAAACGTTTGATCGCAACCAAATGGTGGACCGCAGCCCAGAAGTGTATTTCTGACCGCAACCAGCTTATGAACTGCAACTCATGCTTAACCAATTTGATCACAACCAATATTGGGGAATCATGCACACATTACACATAGCAAGCACATGCAACCCACAGTGACACATTGGGAAGGGGGGGAAAATTATAATGAAACTGATGCGTGGTAATCCACATACTAGGAATAATCTTAATGGGTTCATACTTCTTTCACCTAGGTCAACGGGGTACGAATTCAACTAGCATGCAATACACAAGACTCTTTTATCCTACGAACGGTACCCGAAACATCAAACTAGACTCAGGCACGATAAACGGAGTCCGTTGGGACTCCACGACGGTCGGGGAAACCACCATCCTGAATCGGGAAAAACCAGCAGGTGGCCGGCAGGTGGAGGACCACCAGCCGGTGGCGTCATGCTGGGCAGCGGGTGCCCGGCAGGCAGTCGCCTTCCCGCCGGCTGCCTGCTGCCGGCGACGCAAAAAACGGGGCAGTGGGTAGGTGGCGGGTTCCCCTACCCCCACTGACTCATTTTCAATATATTGGTCCCGGGATCTTTCGTGGAACCCGGAACCATGTTCAGACACTTTTAAACATAAACGACTACACCACGTAGTCAAATAATGGATCAAAACCAAGAATTATACTGAACACATCTTAACATGACTTCTAAACATAATTGACACCCGAACATGCGAAATCCCTCCCAAATATATCAAGATTATCACAATATGAAATTCTCCAATTTAACCTAGGGCTCTAATCATATTTAAATCATCAAAATCATAGCTTTATCTTTAAAATCAAGAACATCAAGATTTATCACACAGTTATTGAAATCCTCTTATAATCATCAAGATTATCAAGATCCACACGTAAGATCATCTCATCAATCATCAAGATCATATCATAATCATCATAAAATATTTATCGAGACACAAGTATAGAGAAGGAACCAAAGAGGGAGATTATTGCGAGGAAAATAGGTTATGTTGAGACATGGGTTACCTCTTAGCCTTAATTAATCATCCCTTGGCTATTAAGGTTCTTCCCTAAGATTTCCATCCGACTGATCTCCCTAGGCTTAGTGGTGGGGAATCCCTTGGGAATACTTTTGTGTAATATAACTATGGTGGTAAGGGTTCTAATGCTTTCTAATCCCCTATTTATAGCATCAGGAATCCTAATCATAATCTGAGTAGTAAAAGACCTACTTCCTCCATTCCTAATTGATAAATAGGTCTAGGATTGCTAATTAGAATCCGACTAGTAAAAGGTTTACTCTCCTTATTCCTAATAGGTTTAAGACACTAGTTTAGGCAGGGGCCCACGATGCATGGTGGACCACATTAAGTAATTAAAGGGAATCTTAATCATATTAAATCGTTTTTAATTATTATTAACGGAATTAATTAAATAATTAATCCAGGATTAAAGGCCGTTACACGGGGTGTTACATCGGCGATGGTCTTCAGTGGCGACGGGGACATGGCGACGAGTGGTGCGGGGGGGGGGGGGGGGGTGGGGGGGGGGGTGTCTCGGCTTGTGCACACGGGTGGAGGGGAAGAAGGGAAAAAAAATTGAGGGTTTAGGGATTTTGGGGAAAAATTGGGAATGAGAAGATTTAATTTGGAGATTTTTGGTAATGTGAGAATTTATGGGTTACGTGGAATTAAAAATGGGTAAGGTTTAAAAAACATAACTAGCTTAAGTGGTTTTAGGGTTGGGTTGGTAAATGGTACACTTGGGTTTGAAACTTTAGGGTTATAATTTGAAAATTTACTTGGTCTTTTAGTTTACACAAGAAGGAATTTCTATGGGTTTTTCTACTATAAATTCAAAAGGGTATTTAAATAACTTTAGGTGACTCACAAGGAAGATGGGTTACAAGAGTACATGTACAAGGCTATGGAATTAACACAAGCATGACTCATTTTAGAAGTAAACAATTAACTCCACGAAAGACTTTCACTTAAGGCCAAAAGAATCACACAACAAGGCAACACAAAAAGGCAACGAGGAACAAGATATATTCTCAAGACAAGGGTAGGGTAGAAAAAGGGTTACCTGTCGTCTCGTCCTCAACCAGTCCCTCTGTCTCAGCCTGAGATCGCCCCATCATGAAAACCCAACCCGAAGGTCTACCTCCGGCTGCTCCTCGACTCGAGCTCCCTCCCGATGGTCCTCCGGATCCCGAAGATGGTGGCAACGCCCTTTGGTTGGAATGCTGAGGACACTCGGCAATCTTATGTCCTCTCTCCCCGCATCGGAAGCATTGGAACGCATGACCATTGCAATCCTTGCCCGCGTGCTCTTTCCCACACCTTCGACACACAAACGTCTTGGCTTGGCTTTCGGGCTCCGTTCGAGTTGGTCCTTGGGTTGGAGAAGGTGCGTCCTTGGCTTGGAAGTCCTGCCTTGGCCTCTTGAAGTTGGAGGATGCACCACTCTCGTTCCTCTTCCTAGCAAGCTCAAAAGATCCATGTTGCAACTGCTGCACCCGATACAAGTCCGCGGCACTCAAGTAAGCCTCCTTCAAAGACCTCGGCCTGCTCAGGGTTAAAGTCTTGCGTGCCTCGTAGTTCAAACCGGCTACGAACTTCTCAACGTTTGCAAGCTCGGTGGGGACAGGCATCCTGGCGAAGCGAGCTCGCTCGAGAATCCTGTTGCGGTACTCAACCACCATCGATGATCCCGGCTGGAGGTGCAGAACTCCTCATACATCGCGGCACGAATAAGTGCCGGGTAGAACTGCTCTCGCATCCGGTACTTCAAGGACGTCCAGTCAAAGTCAGGCTCCTCAAGACAAGCGGGTCCCTCGTGTACCCACCACAAGTCGGCTTCGTGGCTGAAGTAGAAGGACGCTAACTCCACTCGGCGCTCCTCGGGGCACCCAAGGATGGAGAAGATCTTGTAGAACATCCGAACCCACTCTTCAAGAACAACGGGGTCTTCCTCACCGGCGAACGTCAAAGGTTTATGGCCCGACACAAGGTGCCCTACATCTCTATGCCCGGCAGGCTGTGGAGGTGGAGCGGGATGGTTGTTGTGCAACAACGCTTCGCTGAGGGTCTGCATCGTCTGCGTGAGTTGTTGCAGATTCTGGGCTAGCTGTTCGTTTGTTGGGGTCTCCGGCGTGCGTGCACGTTGACGGGGTGGTGCCATAGCAAAGTTTCTACAACAACAACACTATTATAAACAAAACAACAAGCAAGCCAGCAAACTATAAACAACACACAGCTCACCGCGCGTCCTAAGAGTCCTAAGTCCTAAACACTTAGATTCTTACAGTCATCTTAGGGTCTCAAACCACACTTAACCTCTTAAAAGTCTAGACTCTAGCATCCTAGGCTCAAACCTAGGCTCTGATACCAATTGTAACACCCCCAATTTTCAAACCATTTTAAACTTAAATATGCAACACAAACTAACCACAAATACATCAAGCATAGCACAACGGAAGACTAATATTAAAGCCAGAAAACAGGGAGTGTTATGCCACGTTCACACCATTGTGAACGCAGAGGCAAAAACCAACATCAACAATCTAAAGTATTCAACAAAAGAGGCACACAGGCCCAAAACACAAACTAAACTGTCCAGGGAGTCGAATCTAGCCATCTCTAACGCGCTCGCCGAATACTCAGAACCTGGAAAGCACATAAATAAATGGGACGACGCCCGGTCAGCGAATAATGCTGGTAACCCATCAATACGCGTTAAGTATCATACATAGATAGTATATACAAAATCATTTTCGAAATGAAATACTGTATATATAGTTCAAAGCCAAAGATAGAAGTCAACCGCAAAGACTGTATATCACTCACAACAAGGACAAGGGGATCAGCATCCCAAACACATCAAGACATGACAACAACAGCACAAGTACAACTCAAGGTGTATTCTACCATCACCCAGTAGGATACCACCCGACATGCTCAACAATTAAGGATAGAGAAACACACATCGGCAACACATGCCATCGTGACATCACCCATGACGAATTCAATAATCCTTCCTTATGCCCGGTTCCAACCTTATGGCTACCCCCAACCTTATAACTAGTTCCAGCCATTACCTCCAGGACCCCCGTACATCCAAGTCCAACCTTATGCCTCCGGGAACTGTCGTTCCCCCACCAACAACCACCAACAATTTCCACCAATTCATAGTACACGAGGGTACCGATCACAACACACGCCCATAACCACCCAAAACACGTGAACCCCACACACAAGTCACAACTCCATAATCACGTCACGGACACCATGAGAACCACTGTTGTACCTTGGTGACTAATGTCCCATACCATTAATCGTGCAATCCAGGTACAGCAAACAAACACAACATCATCATATGAATCAATCAATGGATCACAGCAAAGATATGAAACCATACTCAACAAGGAAAGGATCACAATCCGACAACAACGATGATCGACACAAGTCATCATCCACAATAGGAAAGAACAAACCACACACGCTAGCATTTCAACACCGAACTAGCATGCTTATCAAACGGGTAAACAAAACATAGTTTCGAAGAACACACAAGTATCATCATGGTTCAACGAATCACAAGGTTGAACACTAAGCACGATTCAAGACACCAAAACCTACATATAAGTACCCCGCGGGTGTGTCCACGGGTGGACCCCCACCCGTGGTTCCGTCCGCGGGAACCACATCCCACGCCACTTGTACCCCGCGGGTGGGGCGGCATGTGGAGCCCTGCCCGCCGTTTCGCCCGCGGGTACATGTCGTGTACCAAAATAATCCCTTTGGGGATTTTCAACACCAAGTGCAAAATCAAGTCCAAAACACCCAAAATCTCACAGAATACAACAATATGACTTGAATCAAAGGAATAGCCAAGCAATGGCATACAAGAACCCTAATAACAAGCTCTAGATATGCATTCTCACAACACAATGCATCAACACTCACATTTCATAGCAAAAATCACAAGTAGAATTCAAGAAATCATCACATATAGGTAAGAAACTAGATTTTGTAAAGAATTGGTTACCTCATGTAGCCGAAACCTTCACTTATCTCACCTTTACAAGCTTCTAACAAGGTTCTCCTTCAACACCAACTTCAAGAACACACCAACGGAAAACAAAGATTTCATCTTTAGAAAAAGACACCTTAAAATGCACTAAAAACACTAAACGAAAAAAGATCTTACCCTCCTATATGCCCAAGAGTAAGAAAGGTGGAATCTTGGAGACCAACTTGAAAGATCTTGGAATGCCCAAACTTGGCTTGAAGAAGAAACTAGCTAATTTCTAGAGAGAAGGAGGAGCTTTTGTGTTGAGAGTGTTAGGGAAAGAATGAAAGATGACTCTAGGTTAGCTTGGGATACAATCTTTGGGTGGACAGTCTTCTTTACCCTTACTAAGGTGGAAAAGTGTAAGGAGACAAGGGAATTATTCACGAAGCATAGGGTACAACCCATTGACTTAGATTGACTAGTCAATTACTAGTCCATGACTATTGGATTTCCAGGATTTTTAGGAATAAATCATTGCTTAATATAGAATTAATTACTTAATTAATCCTTAAATAAAATTTGGATTTATGGAGTGTTGCACAATCTCTTTGTGTTGCGGTACAAGTAAAGTGTTGCGGGGCCATGTCAGAGCTATATGCACTGACCTTCATGTGTGGCCATGTGAAGGTTCCTACGGCACAACCATATGTGCATACGTGTCTTATTGTTGATTGTGACTGAAATAGTAATTAGAATTCGATATGATTGATATTGGATAGTCTTGTGACCTTAGGATGCATGCTAGAATCTTTATGTGTACGATTGATTATATTAAATGTGTCTGTCATTGCTTGATTGAGTAGGTTCTCGGTTTTAAATTATTGTTTCATAAGTATATATGTATTCCGGATTCAAAATGATTTTCCTTATATCTACCTATATTGTACTTAACGCGTTGGAGTGGGTTACCAGCATTATTCACTGAATAGATATATTTGGCTTTCAGGCACAGATGAGTAGTTCCGGAGCGCGCTAGTCGGACCCGTGGACCTAGCTAGATTAGTTCGATTATCGGCCTACTTGCCTTGAAGTTGTACTATATATTGATTTGAGGATTTCTTTTGTTTGGATAGTTTAGCCTGTACATCTGAGTTGTCCAGCTCAGATGTGGCATAACACCCCGACAATTGTGTTTGGTTTATACTCTTTTTGGGATTTGATAATAGAATTGCCTATATTTCATAAGCTTTAAAAGTTTTAAAATTTAGGGGTGTTATAGGTGGAACATGGGGAGAACCTCCACCCGCAGCCTGCTCTGCTTCACTGTAGGACGAGCCACCACCATCGGAACTGCTACGCCGGAGAACTTCCACAAAGCCGAATGGAGAAACCACTGTCGGGAAGCTGCCTGCTCTGCTGCCGTCGACGAGAAGAGAGGTCCTAGAAGCTCTTTACACCGTCCAAGCTGCTGCCGGGAACTCTGTAACTCGTCGCGAACCATCACCACCACGCTGTTGCTCCGACGGAGAGGGGCGATGATAGCTCGCCGTTGCCACCTTGGCTTTTTCCTGCCTTGCCGTTCACCGATCCAACCGGAAGAAGAGGAAACTGCCGCTGCTCTCCTATGGCTTGAGGAAGAGACGTGGGATAAACAAGGGGGTTCTTTGGGCTAGAAGATGAAGGGTGATGGATGTGTGAGAGATGGCAACGCAAGACCAGTGTAACACCCCGTGTTACGGCCTCTAACCCAAGCTAATTATTTAATTACTCACCCTAAAAAGAGAATTAAATCCCATTAATTAATTAGGATGGGTCCACCATAGACCATGGACCCTTATCCCTAAAACAACCCCTTAGTCCTATAAGAAATAGAATTAGTAAACCCATACCATTCAGACCCTAATTAGGACACTTAGATATATAAATAGGGACATAGGAGGAACATAGAATTCACACCACAATAGATATCACCACACAAGAATTCCCCTATCACCAACGTGGGAGAAATCAAGAAGAGGAGATCTTAAAGAAATAACCTTAATAGCCAAGGAATCTAATTAAGGCTAAGAGGTAACCCATGTCTCAACAAAACCTATTTTCCTTGGTATAATCTCTTTCTTTGGCACCTTCTCTATGCTTGTGTCTTGATAAATCTTTTATGATGATTATGATATGATTTTGATGATTGATGAGATGTTCTTATGTGTTGATCATGATAATCTTGGTGATTATAAGAGGATCTTGATAATTATGTGATGTTCTTGATAAATCTTGATGTTCTTGATTTTAAAGATAAACTATGATTTTGATGATAAAGGTTAAAATTGGGAATTTCGTATTGTGATATTCTTGATATATTTTGGTGGGATTTCGCATGTTCAGGTGTTAATTATGTTTAGAAGTCATGTTCAATATGATTCTTGGTTTTGATCCATTATTTGACTACGTGGTTTCGTCGTTTATGTTTAAACGTGTCTAAACATGGTTTCGGGTTCCACGAAAGATCCTAGGACCCAAGTATTGAAAAAGAGTCAGTGGGGGGTAGGTGGGGGTAGGGGAACCCGCCACCTACCCGCTGCCCCAAAAGGGCGTCGCAGGCAGCGGGCAGCGGGCAGCTGGCGGCCAGGCGACTGCCCGCCGGGCATCCGCTGCCCAGCGTCTCGCCGCCGGCAGGTGGAGGGGAGGGTGGTCCTCCACCCGCCGGCCACCCGCTGGTTTTTCCCAACTGGGGATGGTGGTTTCCCCGTTTGATGTTTCCCCGACCCTCGTGGTGTCCCAATGGACTTCGTTTATCATGCCTAAGTCTAGTTTGATGTTTCAGGTATCGTTCTTAGGGTAAAAGAGTTTGTATATTGCATGTTAGTTGAATTGGTACCCCTTTGGCCTAGGTGAAGAAGTATGAACCTGTGACACCCCGAAATCCAAATTCAATTAATGGATTAATTGAGTAATTGATCCTATTTCAATTAGTGAATTAATTCCTAAAATTCTGAAAATTCAATACTTGGAGACTAGTACTTGACTAGTCAACCGCAAAGTCAAAGTTGTACCTTGAGCTTTGTAAGGAGTTCCCTTGTTCC